TATCAGAAATGCACACAAACAGAAATTGTTTACAGAGGTCTGCTTTCAACAGGAAATGTGGTTCATTTCAACGGTTAATATAATGAACATCTCCTCAGTCTGCAGCTAATACTTCTGCTAACAAGACTGAAACAGACTGAAAACAAACAAAAAAAAAATGTCTTATTACCTCCCACACAGCCTGCTATTGGCATCAACGTCCTATCACACGTCAGATTGTTTTCTCCTGACTAGATCCTTGCTTGTGTTGTATCCGCTGTCAGATGTGCGTCGCTTTGGATAAAAGCGTCTGCTAAATAAAACTGAAAATTGTAGAATTGTTGCTGACACAACTGGCAAATTGAGCAAATTGAATGTGTCTTCAGGAATAACGCATCCTGACCGAACAGGCCGAACTGAGGCATTTACTTGAACATTCAATGGTGCTGCTGACGGCTAAAGTTTTTAAGCCGTTCTTGTGTCATGTGGGGTTCCACAAGGCTCAGTTCTCGGTGCTGTTATTTTTAGTTTATATCCTTGAGCCTTGGTCGTGTTTTTTGCCGTTTCACTTCTGTGTCTCACCACTGTTTCACCGATGACTCTGTATATCTCATTTGGACCTGAAAATTGTCGTAGGCTGTGTCAGAAATCACTCCCTATGCCCTACATAGTGCACTATATAGGGTGCACACCATTTTGTAGGGCTGTCCGAATGTTAAGTTACAAATGTTACACCCTGTATAGTGCACTCACAATATCCCACAATGCACCGTAAAAAGTAGTGTAGAGTCGATGGTCACTAACGGAGCAATATGGACCGTCATGCATTGCACGAAAGGAAACGGAAACGGAGATGAACGAGAGCGCGGAAAAATTCCTGTTTGTTTTGTTAAATGTTATTTTACCAGGACAGTGAACGTCGTTAAAATTGCGCCGCTCGGTTGTGATTTGGACAAACAACACCACTTTATTAAAATTGCTTTCAGTTACTGGATCCTGAAGAAACGCTCTCTCATCTGGTATGTACAGCAAAATGACAATAAACTTGATTTCATTTGATTTCTTAGCTACGCAATAAACTGTTAATTTGATGTGTTTGTACGACGCTGTTGCAGCACAAATTGCGGCTAGCGAGCGACGTAATTAACAGCTCCAGTAGTGTCTGAAATGATACTTTGCCGAGGTGCTCCCTACATAGTGATCACTATGTAGGGAGTAGGGAGTGAGTGGGTGATTTCGGACACAGCCACAATCTGGCTTCTCTGCATTACTGCCTTGCTGCCATCAGGGACTGGATGTCTTCTAAATTCCTGCGAAAGATACGATTAAAGTCCTGGTGACTGGTGCTGATTGTATTTCTATCAGCATCCCACCCCACACTGCACCACTAACAACTGACATGAAGTACTCGGCTGGAAAATTGGGAGTTTTTTTGATCAAGTCTAGTTTAATCTTTGTATTTGTAAATCAGAAATATTGACAAACATAAATCAACGCTGCCTGAAGACATTGCTGAACTCCTCCACACCCTCATTTTCTCCTGCCTCGACTACTGCGACTCATTATGTCTGAAAGATGCAGCAATTGCAAGTTTACAACTGATTTAAAACACAGCAGAAGACTGCTCTCAAACACTCTAATCCTGGCAGAATTACTGTTAGTTGTAGAATTCAGGTTTAGTTTGAAAAGCTTTTAAAAACCCACCTGAGTAGACAGACATTTATATATGATTTATAATGTCTTTTATAATGTTCACTGTCTTTTTTTCATGTTTTACTGTAAAGCATCCTTTACCTCCAGTTTTAAAAGGTGCTATTATTATTATTACTGTTGTTGTTAATGGTCTCATGGCAACCCTGTGCATTGTGGGCATGTGCCAGTTGCATCAGGCTGCAGCCTTGGTTGCTTTCATGCCCCAGATTGTACCCAGATTCCAAATAAGCTGCATTCGTTTTCCTGTGCATGCAGTATATCCGACAACATGTGCATACACAAGGTACACTATTCAGAAAAAAAAAGAGATGTTACTGCCTCAGAAGATGCAACGGCTCTGCACTTCAGTTATGGAAAAGTGAGGTTGGGTTTGTTTATAAGAAACCTCGATACAGTGGAGGTGGGTGTTATGTTGTGCAAAGTGCAGACATATTATTTGCTTCTGACACTGGTGGAGTGCAGCAGCAAACATGCACACAAGCAGAAAACAAAGTCTTTACATCAAATGAGTGGGAGGCAGCGTCTCAGTCACTTGAGTGATTGTCTGTAAGGCTTTCACTCCTGACATGCTAAGCAGACACATTTTAGTTTTGCTTTATTAAATGGAGAGTTTTGCAAGAATTAAAATTTGATTCTTGCTCTTTTTCTTGTTACTTCACGTGTTTGCGTGACAAAGACGATGCACTGTAATAATGGCAAAATGTATTCAGACACTTAATTCAAAGACCCTCTGGCAGCAGTTACAGCTTCGTGTCTTCGTGGGTAAATCTCTACAATCTCTGCACACTTAGATTTGGATAGTTTATTTTATTCTTCTTGCCAGATCTTCACAAACTCTGTCACATGGGACAGTTAGAGTTTGTCATCTTCAGGTCTTTCTACAGATGAGATTTGCAGTCAGGGAGTCGTCACGAAGCGAACCCAGTGTCGTTTTGGCTGTATGCTCTGGGCCACTGTTGTGCTGAAACCATTGCCCCAGCCTCAGCTTTCTGCACTCTGGACCAGTTACCTCTATGTGTTTGGCTATGTTCATCCCTCCCTCACTTATGATCAGTTTTCCTGTCCCTGCTGAAGAGAGCATGATGCTGCCACCGCCGTGCTTCACAGTAGAGATGGTATTAGGAGGTGATGAGCAGTAAAGGGCGTTTTCGTGACACGGTGCTCGGCATTAACTTTTATCTCAACAGATAATGTTTTTACTCATGCTCGTAGTGGCCCAAATGACATTTAAGAAAGAAGTTTCCATGTAACCTTTCCTCCTACCCCATCAACCAGTACAGTTATGATAAGCCAGACTTACAGTGCTAAACTCAGCCTGTTTGGGGGCTGTGAGTGAAATCGAAAGTAATTATTGAACAGACTTTACAACTTTACACAACTTTTGTTTCTGTTGACGTACTACAGGTTGAATCAGCAGCTGCACGCGGCCTCGTCACGTAGGCTACTCAGGAAATGAATAGCGGGGGATTTACTGGAGCCAGCACCACTGATGTGTTGTAGTTTAGGCTTCAGCTGCTAAGGGTTAAACAATTTAAAATCCCCCTCTGGCCATGAAAACTTGTTTACTCCATAATGCCTATAAGTGGCTTAGGTGTAACTACATCGCTGCTTTCAGGTGGAATGTGCAGATCTACAAAGTCCTCTTCTCTCTCCGTACACCCATTCCCAATTACTGCACTTCTAGCACACCAGCTCACCTACAAGCCTGCTCAAACACTGTAAAACTACCCAAAGACGAGTTATGATACTGGAGTAATTCAGTCACACATGTTCAACCCAGAAACAGTTTCCGAAGAAAAATAATGACACAGAAAGTCCCTCCTGCAAGCTGACAGGGTTAGTTACATACGAGGCGTCAGAATCTGAGTAGAAGCAGCACCTTTAATTCAAGACATTCAGCAATACTCAACATTTTTACAATAAAAACACTGTAAAGGTCACACAATGTTTGTTTTTTTTAAATCTCATTTTCGACACGTCTTCAGACAGCTGCCATCAAAACACAGATTTCTATCTTTTTCTTTTTTTTTTACATGCATGAGACTGAACAATAGACATTATTTACACTAAAAAGTCAATCTTCAAATATTGCATACGTTTTGTGAAGTAACAGTTTAGTTGATGAAATAACACCTGACAGGACAAGATTTGGTAGCTTGATAGATTTTGCTACCAAGGTCTTCAAAGAAGACAAGAACCTTTAGTCTGTGGTTTGCTGCGTGCCACGACTGCAGCCACCAGTTTGAAAAGCCACAGTCACAATTTGCTGACTTACAGTAGTTGGTTGGTTTCCCTTCTGAGTAAAAAGCAACAGGGCAGATAAGAAAAAGAAAAAAAAAAACCCTGCTTGTTTTCTAACAGTTGGGTAAGTTTAACTACACAATACATTCTTAAAACATGATAATACGTGGCCATTAGAACTAATTAATACTGGCTATCTCACAGATCAATTAAAAAAACACCAATAAACTCCTGCTGAGAGAACTGTGGAGGCCGTAGGATGGAAAATGGCAGTCAGATAGTGTCAGTTGTAAGTCCCACACCACATGTGACCTGTGAATATACAGTACTGTTAGGCTGACAGATAACTCAACTACAACTACACAGAAAAACCCCCAAACTATTTCCAAACCCTGATGATTCTCACTTTAGTTTATTTCACCTGACAGAGAACAATAGGAGGCAGTTAATGAGTCATAACTGTGATAAAAGCAATGATTAAAAAAAAGAAGAAAAAAAAACGGAAAAGATGCTGCGACTCAACCTGAAACCAAAAGGCAGCTCGTTCAAAAATAGCTTTGAGCCATTATCTGTAAAAGATAAGGCTGGTGAAACACTCTGTTCAATTGAATCCGTCTCTCAACACTCATGGACTTTGTTTTCTTTCCTGTCTGTGGCACTAAACTGCAGGTTCTTTAGTTTCTAATGAAAACCCAAACCCTGATTTTGTGAATCTGGCAGATGCTATAGTTTTTAGTAAATGGAGAAAAATAGAAAGTGTGACTGATGGTTTAGTAGTTCCTACCTAAGAAACAGTACAGGTATTAGCTTATGATAACGAAAATATGAAATCTCACTGGAGACCCTTTAACCCTCCTATTACCTTCACATTTCCTGACATCTTTTATCCTTGGCTTCAATTTGACCCCAGCAATTTAAACATCCAGAAAATATCAGAACTAAAAATGCTACCCAAGTTTATGTGTAAATAAACCCTTAAAAAAAAAACAAAAAAAAAAAGCCAAAGAACTAGTTAGAAAAGGTAAAAAACGAAAAGGCCCAAAACGAACCCAAAAAAAAAAAGAAGGGTAAAGGGTAAAGCCCCAAAACCCCCCGAAAAAAAAAAAAAAAGAGTAAAACTGATTAGGAAGTTGGTTTGTCGCTGTGACAGTGGCTCACACTTCTTTCTTGTGGTTTGTCACAGCTGCTGTCTACACTTGAGTTTCAGGACCACCACAGCAGCAGAACAGAGACGCTTCCCCCTTCAAAACTTTTCGGTTTTTTGACATTGTGCAAGAATCCTAAAGCCTAGGAGGGCTCCTAACTGCACTACAAAATCGGAGTTGATCACACTTACAAGAAATACGTGTTTAGGTTATATGTCCGCATACAGTACGGCAAACCTTTACTCTAATCGAGAAAGATCGGCAGGTTTGCGTTCAGTCACATTCGTCTCATTTCTGGCAGATAGCTGACAGCAGCGTACTCCGTGTCACTGGGATTCATCTCCACAGGGGCTGGAAGTCTTTTGGGGAAGTCCAGGACGCTGTAGACCAGCGAGGGTGCAGGCACGTTGCTGGACGGCTCAACTATCTCCTGTGAAGACAATTAGAGTCGAGGTGAAGAGTTCAGTTCCACTCACTCTGTAGGTGTTCAAAGGTGGAGAGATGTTCTTACCTGAACTGTGGGATTTGAGCTGTGTCGTGGCATTTGTTGCTGTTGTTTGTCTGTAGAAGAAGGAAAACGGGTCAAACACCCAGACAGACAAGTGACTGCACATGTGTACATTATGTGAATTACTGAGCGTACATTTGTGGAGGGAGCAGTCCAAATATTCAAGACTATTTTGTCGCAGTGCCGTTTAATATTTTAGGTCCATTCACCACATTGGCTTTCAGCACACTAATGCGTATTGTTGTTTCTGTGTTGTTGTTGTTGTTGTTGTTGTTTTTTATCAGCATGCCTGTTACTTTTATAACAGTAGCTGCTAAAATGAACAGTAAATTTAAAGTTTTCGTAACGATGCATCTCAGAGAATTTTCACCTATTAGCATCTTTCAGCTTCAGTCAGTTTTATGTTTAAAACTTTTCTATTTTCATTCATTCTAATGGCTCTCATCGTGTAGTTTCCAAACTCGAGGCACAAAAACACCTGATGAACGTAGTTTATGCTACGAGCCGCAAAACCAAGCAGCATTGAAGACCCTAGGAGGGCTCCTAACTGCATTACAAAAGCGGAGTTGATTACACTGACAAGAAATACATGTTTAGGTTTTATGTCAACATACAGTACGGCAAATCTTTAATCAAGAAACATCAAACCGAACAGCATTAAAGTTCACAGCTAGCTGGTGAGTTGTGGAGCTTTTAAGAGACTAAAACAAAAAATAAAACCCGAATACACCCTCATAGCAAAGCACAGTAAACACCGTGTCTTTGAGACAGAGTCAGGCTAGCTTTTCCCTCCATTTTCATTCATTATGCTAAGCTAGGCTAATCCCCTCCTGACCACAACTCTGTACGTACAGCTGGGAAAATGATACTGATGGGATTGGGTAACAAAAAAATGCTAATATGTGTAAATGTAGGAACAACTCAATCTGTGTGAATTGTTAAGGATTGAGGCCAAACCTGTGCAAAGATAGAACGCTATACAACCAAAACATTTTTATGTTAACTAACACACAGGTTTATTAAATGAAACCGGCTTCCTAAAGCCTGATTTTAACAATTATTTTTGTTCACTTTTTGGTCTCAAACTCAACCTCACAGCCTGTATAAGTTTGTGAAAAACAAAGAACTTTAACATGCCAGTTGAAGAAATGGTACACTTTATCTCTACCATCTGTCAGTTTTCTGAGAAACCCACAGGCCTGGACAACTTTGGGCCAGGTTACCATGACACGCTAAAGGAGTGCAAAGTCAGCAAACGCTTGCATTTGTGTACACGTATGGGAAATCATCAAATGTGGTTTCTGTGGCGGCAAGGGCTGTCAAAATATTTCAAAGCGACCGTGTTCCTACACAAAGTAGGCCAGAGGGGTTTGCCTCTGAAGTGAAAGTTCTTATAAATGTGCACAAATAATGCGAGCCATTTCTTTTTTCCATCCATCTCTCTGTGATAGTAGGTATGTTTCTTTTTTTTTTCAAAAAGCTGTGAATCATCACATGCATCAAAAGGATGTGAAACTGCAATCTGGTTTGCATTTTGAGCATGTAACCACACAACTGCTATTTTCCCCCCCACACAATAACAATTATTTTCCTCGTCTTTGACTTGGGTCGCTTGAAATAGCAAGAAAATACTACCGACTGCGTCCCTGAACAGGTCGTTTAACACTGTTCTTTCTCAGTATCAGTATTTACCAAAGGATGAATCAAAGTTTCCTGACATATCAGGTCAAATATTTACACATATTTTAGATTTTATTTCCGCAACGTGGAAAAAAAACCTTCATCTACATTGAAAGAAACTAATGGTGAGTCATATCCTGACAACAGACGCAACATGATACAACCTGAACTATCAGTTATGGCAAAAAAGTACAACAGATAGACAGCGAAGAAGACTGTTTTTGGAGCCTAATTTCACCGTACCTCTGGTTTTCGCAAAGCAGTAGATCAAGACTGGAAGCGCTGCAGCTAGTAGCACTACAGGTGAAACCGCGAGGACAGAGACGATGTGGAAGGAATTGATACTGGAACTTCCACTGCCTTCAGGTGTCGTGAACTCAGTCGGCACTGGAGTAGCTGTGGGAGTTGAAAGAAAATTATGAAAATATTTACTCATCTCTGCACAAAAATGTAGATGTTTCTCACAATAAAAAGTCCTGCCATGGCAATAACTGTTCATAAGACACGAATTACTGCTGATCCTGACGGAAACTGTGTTTGACGACGTTGTTCCTGTACAATTAGGCACTATTTTGTCTCTTTTGACTGGAGGAGCAAATAACATCACAAATATGAACTAATTAATGAGCATAAAACATATCGCAGGTCTGAGTATCACTATATATATATATATATATATATATCCAATGTAAAATATTTTTCTGATTGTCAAGATATTTCACAAAAACTACAATTAAAAAAAAACATCACAGGAAAAAAAACTCCAAAATTTAAAGTGTTTTTTAAATTATATAGAAAAGTCTGTAAAATTGCAGATATTGCCTGTAAGTTGTCAACACAGCAGTTATTTTAAGTATAATCCAATTCACATTTATTTGTAATTTCTTACAGAAAATGTACTTTATTGTTCTTGTGATATATTTAATATGTTTTCTTAAATTACAACTTTACGCAAACTGATAATTATCTGTAATTAAATATGAGGCTCTTTATGTGAAGGTTTATGCTCAAACTATAATTCAAAGTAAATGTTTTCAATACATCCATCACAATACATAGTTTTTGTTTTGTTTTGTTTTTTTAATTGTACAGAGATGAACTTTCCTCAAATATCTCAGACATGTTGCTCCTCTTTGTACCTGAGAGTGATAACAATGTTTTACTGCAGAACTTTTGGGTCAGCCAGTTTACTGAAGATGTGAGGTCACAATAATTTAGGGAAAATCTAAAAAAATAACTGTATTTTTTCCACAAAACAAACAATGCAATTTCTGTAAATGTTTTATCTTTACATTTTCTCTGCGTTCACTGCTTTGGGGCTCCCCTTTAAAAGCTGATTCCTGTACTGAAGATGTAAATGTTGAGGAACCAGCTCTTGAAAGACGTCAGTAATCACTGAATAACATGAAATTATGGTTCTGAAGGGACGAGTCTCAGTGATGCTGCCTCTGGACCACTGAGCACTATAATGTTTGTGGTTCTGAGTGAAATGCACAATAACTGGAAGGATTGCCAAAAAGTTTGCTTCAGATATTTGCGTCTCTCTACGAATAAACTTCGATTGCTTCGGTGAACCACTGAGTTTTCATCTAGCGTCATCATCAGGCCATAATTTTAACCTGTCCAATACTTTACTTTCTAACCAAATAGCCGAGGAACTAAACGTACGCCGATGACAGTCTTGTGTTTTCAATGACTCCTATCATTTTAAATTTTCTGTGATGGAATAATTGACTGTTACAAAAACAATCATTCATTTTGGTTCTTTCATAGATTTATTCTACATCTTCTGCAAAAACAACAACATCTGCTCCGTCAAAAAAAAAAACACCCAGCAACTTATTATCAGTTTTATGATGTAGAAGCTGCAGTAGTCAGATTTTCTTACTGGCATGGCCTCTCAGCTTCTTGTGAGTGTTGACAGATGACTACAGCTGCTGACTCCTCTGAGCCAATTTAAATAGGACCTACTGAATAAACTCAGTAGACTGCCACAAACACTAAAGTGGGAAAGTCTGAGGAGCTTAGCAAGGATCTCAAAAAGCAAATAATTGACTTGAGCAAGTCAGTAAAGTAGATGCTGCAAGGTGGAGCAGTGGTTAGCACCGCTGCCTCACAGCAAGAAGGTCGCCGGTTTGCATCCTGGTGAGGACACCCAGGATCTTTCTGTGTGGCGTTTGCATGGATTCTCTCCGGGTTCTCCGGCTTTCTTCCACAGTCTAAAACCATGCTGAGGTTAATTGGTGATTCTAAATTGTCCGTAGGTGTGAATGTGAGTGTGCTTGGTTGTCTGTCTCTAAGTGTAGCCCTGTGATAGACTGGTTACCTGTCCAGGTGAACCTGCCTTCACCCTGAGTCAGCTGGGACAGACTCCAGCCCCCCACGACCCTAGTGAGGATTAAGCGTGTATATAGATAATGGATGGATGGATGGATGGATGGATGGATGGATGGAAGTCAGGAAAGTAACTTGGAGCCATTTCAAAGCAGCTACAGATCCCAAAATCATGTGTTCAAACAAGTGAGTATAGAGTGTACGACACAGCTGTGTCACTGTCATGATCAGGAGGAAAACACAAGCTACACCTGCTGCTGAGACACAATCAGTCAGGATGGTCAAGAGACAACCACGAACTTGTGACTTGTGTTTTACACAAATTAAATAGACTAATGAAGAAGGAGGATTACCTCCACATTCTTTCAGAAAAACCTAAAACCAGCCGCCAGAAGGTTTGGGCTTGGATGCAGGTGGACGTTACAACAAGACAGTGACCCCAAACACACATCACAAGTGGTAAAGAAATGGCTTAATCAGGCCAGAATTAAAGTTTTGCCTTCCTAAAGTCCTGACCTAAACCCTGTTAAGAATCAGTAGACTGTGCTGAAGAAACAAGTCAGAAAGCCAAAAAAATTAGCTCAGCTGCACCAATTCAGTCAAGAGGAGTGTCAATGATACGACCAGGAGCTTGTTTCAGGCGACCAAAAGCGCCCAGTGGAAATAAAAACTGTCAAGGAAAATTTAATCAAACATGAGCGCTGCTGTATGTATACTTTTAACCCAGCAGATGACCTGTAATACATCAATGAAGGAATCAGTATTCATGATTGGTTTTTGTGACACATGGTTTTCTATTGTTAGTCATTAGATAATTAAGCGTTACATTAGTCATTAAGAAACTCAAGACTGCTATGAAATACACGTCCTACGCGTGCGTAGAGTTTGTTCTCGATGGTACAATTTAGCATTCTGTCAAAGCATCGCTATTTCAACGACAGCATCACAGAGACACAAATATTGCTCAAACCTCAGTAGAGGATTCATTTGGTGCAGTTGTGAGTCCACATCACAGTGATGTTTGAAGGGGGACTGAATCAATATACATGATAATATCTATGAAACATCAGCAGACACTACTGGATATTTATTTTACTGTATTAAAAAATGAAATTAGACAAATATGAGAGAGGTTTGTTTCTATTTCAACAAACCTACGTGGCCATAATGTCACACAGTGATTCTGACGTGACAAAAATAAAGAAAAATCTATAAATGTTTTGTTATTTTTGTTGGATTTGCTGACAGTAAGAAAAACTAGCTATAGCCTCATGTTTTCAAAGATATTGGGGTTGCTCTGGTAATTCAGTGTGGTGCTTTGAAAAGGAGACTAAAACAAATGCAGTTGTGAACAGAGAGGAAGTGAATGTGGTGGGCGATGAGTAACTGTGTAAACTGGAGAAAATGAGTACATGATTGTACATCAGAAAATGCACCTTAATAAACTAAATGTAGCACATAAGCATTATTTTTTGTTGTGTATAAATGTGCAGACTGTTAATAACACTAAATGTCTTAGCAGTATGTGGAATGTACTGTTCTAATGCTGCACACTCCACAGCCTCCTGTTCCTGATCTATGCTGGTGTTTGCCTTATGTGTAGCTTATGATCAGAGGGTTTGATCTTACCTGTGCTCCTGCTCTGCTCTCGAACAATCAAGCTCACGTTATCGCTGTTTTCTATAAGTGTTGTCTTCAGAATCACACTGACCCAGTAAGTCTTACTGTGATTTCTACTGAGATTTGTGATGTGGTAAAACACAGAAGAATTACCAGGGAAAATGTCAAAGCAACTTCTGCAGTTTTTATTATCAATAATCTTTTGCTCTCCTGTTGTGTAAAGTCCAAATACGCTGTCTTTTTTAAATTTGACTGGAAATGTAAATGAGAGGGTGATGTTGTCGCCCAGGCTCCCGATGACTGCTGCATGGCTGGGGCCTGTTCGGAGGCAAAACAAGAGATTGTGATTATTACTCAAAACACAATAACCAGCGATGGAAGATACTCAGGTGATACATTCAGAATAGATTCATTATGCATGTCAGAATCAGAATCAGCTTTAATGGTCAAGTACGTACACGACATACAAGGAATTTGGTTTCGGCTGTTGGTGTCACCCTAGGAATTTGCACGAATAATAGAAATCGGAAAATTAAAAAATAAAAGAAAGTAAAATAGCTAAAGAAAGAAAAGAATAAAATACAATAAATATTAATAAAAAATAAAACAAGATAAGACAAATATATACAAGAATTTACATTTATATTGGCCCATTTCAGAGAAATTTATATGTTTTATTTTTGTGTCACAAACATTAAAAGGCATTCATGACTGTACAAATCAATTTAATATTACAGATGGGGTGAATTTTAAGCTACTTTATTTACTGGAAGGTATTCATCTATAGTCATATATCATTATTTATAGCATTTATCTGCAAAGTAAATCTGCAAAATCAATGTTGTGGAGTGAAAAACACAATAACTGAATCTGAAATTGTAATTAATTAGCGAATAGCATAAAATAGAAATGTTAAGTACCTCAGCTTTGAACTCAAGACCGGAGCTAATATGTTAAGCTTCTTTCCATCACTGACAGTAATTAGAAAACAAGTCAAAAGACAAAGTTAAGCCACAGTAACTAAACTAGAGTAATGTGAAAGCCCACCGCTCTCTGAATTTCACTTCAAGCTAGCAGGAAACTAGCTCGGCTAAAGCTAAATTTGCAGCAGATTTTTGCCCAGCTGTTACCTGTAGCTGGGTTCAGAGTTATCTCATATGTCTAAATGAAGCAGTATAGCTGCTAAATTCAACGAATGAGAAGATTAACAACCAGAAGTCGCTAATCTCCTGGTAAAGCTAACGTAACAAACGTTAGCGTAGCCACAGCGTGTCATCTGAGCTTTTCGACTTTAAACTTGTCCTTTTGTGTGATGAATCTACCTTTACATAATATATTATATGATACTTGTACATTTGAAAATTGCAAGTAGTTTGTTGTGTATGAAAATACAAGCTAGATGTACAGAGATTTATTATAACTAAAGACAGGGACAGCTAATTCAAATTAAATATACGTTTTTAAACAAACAACTTAAAATCCAAAGAAAAAATAGTTCACAAAACTAATTATGTGGATGCACATAGCCTATAAGAGTTTCCTCTTGGTTAGTAAACACCCTGAAAAGCCCTTTAAATTTTTATTTTTCAAATAAATGTACAGCCTGAAACCTTTAGAAGCACTTGGAGGCTTTAGCATGTTGCTCAGGACTGTCCATCCTTTAAACTCCAGTCCGACTACAAAATTCTCCTGCTGACTTTATAAACTAGAGATTGTAGTTTTTGAATCAACAAGTCACGCAGACAATGCAGACAGATCTGCTTTTCTTTCATTTTCGCCAAGGTTAAGAAGTTTCTCCTTTGTTTGTCAGCTGTTGAGCACCAGAGTCGGTACAAACACAGTCTGATGGTTGCAGTCAGATAAACTATACATGTACAGGTGGAGGGACTGAATTCAGTAGTAACCGGAATGATTTTGATTATTATAAAAAGAAACGACGATGATTCAATTTAACAAAATCACACATCAAGTTTCCACCACGTCTGTTTACTCAAATGACGGAAAACACGAGTCTCTGCAGAGTTTTGACACTTTAGTGCTGCCGATATACTAGTATAAACCCAATTTAATGAATGATTCGTTCAACTCATCGTTTTAAATCAAAGTGCCTCAAGCTTGCTCCTATTTCGTAAAGCATCCAATGGTTAGATGAGATCGAGGTCATCCTCTACATCTGTCTGCTTGACCTTTTTCATGCCCTCTGGCACCATTTTGTTGTAAAGTAATTCATTCACTGGAGAGGAAGCTGAGGTGTCACTCGAGACACAATATCAAGCTACATAGAAATCATTCAACACAGGAGCTAATTCTAAGGAAACAGGCCTAAAATATGTGAAGAACCACGAGCTTCTGGCAGGTGGAAACCCACAAAACCTCTCTTATGTCTCAGACTGAAGCATGAGTTATGAAGAAGACAGCTTACCGTTGAACACCATGTGAGCTGTGACGATCAAAACGAACCCCAGAGGCTTTGTGACGATGTTGTCAACCATGATAGACGAGTTGTGCTCTGCTTTAAGGCCTGGCGCGATGGCCCCTGAGCCTTTGATCTGATGAGCTGATGTTTCTGAGCTGCCTTTGGTGCGCTGAATTCTCAGTTTATATTCTGTTAGCCAAGCAGCAGTTTGTGTGCCTGACTGGAGGAAACTGCAGACAGGAACTTGCACGAACACCGATCTCTACCAACAGTGACAACACGCGCCTCCTGTAACGGAAGACTTCAAAGAGGTTCATGGACATGTGGTGAGGAACTCAGACGAGGAGGCTGTCACTCACATGAGGCAGTTCTACACACGGAAAGTCCACAATACAACAGTACACTACGATAAAAACGGAGTTTAATCTGCTTTTTAACCAGTGTAGTGAAGAGTTTATCCATCCATTCAATACCCTGATTAGTTAGAAAACAGAAAAAAAATGGAGCATTGTTCCACCTGTTCTTAGACAAATATCACAGTCCTGATCTTTCTTTTTGTTTTGAGAAGTGAGGAGTTTAGTTCTTTTCAAAGTCAGGTCAGGTTTGAAGAAGCATCTATTACTTTGAAATAACTTTTGAGAAGCAAAGTCCTGAATACGTTGCATCATGAACAGACGTCACCGCAAACCCGGAACCTAATAAACGCTCATAACAAAACTGTTGTCGAGCTTTTACTAATGTTTCTGAGGTCATTTCTTCAACGTCTCTGCTTAATAATCATCGACTGTGACGACGTTTTCAATATATGAAAAACATCAAACCTTAAGTGTTATTGTTTAGTGTGAATTCACCTTGATATATGTTACATTATGGGCTG